ACATGTTAAGAAAAAGCGACGGTTCTCTCGAGGATTCGCCAGAGCGCGTGCGCAAACTGTTTAAAAACTGGTGTTGCGAACCCATATGTTGTTATTTGGGTTCGGGGCACTCGGCTTTAAAATCCGTGCGAAACCGAAGGTTTTCGAAAGATTTCGGCATGCGCGCGCGACGACGCGCGCGTGCGCACTTCGTCCCATCTGTCACAAAATATGTTCGTAAATCTATGACTTATGAGAAACGAAAGTACGCACATATTTGTTTGCAGCAGATGGTTGGGGGATAGAAACTGGTTGGGCAGGGATGATGGGAATTAAAATGTAAGATGGACGATGGGGCAGAATCAGATGTACATTGCAAAACCAAAAGGTGAACCGTTAACCCCAGGGGGGATGTCCTAAGTCTCTTGTGGAAAGGAGAACCTACGTGGTGCGCCTATGCAGTGGAAAATATGCAGTACGAATTAATGGGTACAACTTCTGAATGTGGCGCAAGCAGCGGCAACGGACGGCGGCGCTGGCGGCAACAAACCGGCCAGACCGACAGCAAGGCCCAGTTCTTCAAAACGCAAGTACGAAACCATAATTACTAAATAATTACAACCGTTGCTTTGGGGGGAAAAAAGCTTGACAGGCTCGGCATGTTTCTGAGGGGGGGCCTCCTGGAACCCCTGGGGGACGGGCGTCTAAGCAGCCTCCTGCCCTCGCAGCAGGCCGCGCTGCTCGCCCCCCCCTTCCGCGCGCCGCCAGCCTCTGCGCCAAGACACAGTCCTCTCACCGTGCCTGACAGGCAGGTCGCGGCGTCCGGCTCCTCACGGTTCGAGCCACTGGGGTGGCCCGCCTGGTGACTTTGGGACATCGGACATCGGACGTCGGACTTGCCGAAGTGAGCCGCGAGGACCCGGCAGGGTGGCACCGGGCGACAATCTGCCAAAAGATGCAGCAACATGGGCATCTGAGCGGCGCTCAAAAGCGAGTCTTACGCCAGATGGCACGGCGACCCTGCGGGGTGGCCTACGCGGGAAAGGCCTTCTCAGAAGGCTCGGAAGTACCCCGACCTTCTGAGGAGATTCCTGGGCCTCCCCCGACGGCACAGAAAACCTCTAAGATCACCCGAGGGTTTCTGAGAAGCCCCGCCGCCTTCTGAGAAGGCCTTCTTGTTCTTCTTCTCACTTCCCCCCTCGCTCGCCGCCGAGGAAGGGCAGTCTACAGTCGGACTTGATTGGACAGGACATCCGAGAGGACACAAGACTCTTCCGACGGCAGCGTGGCCCCAGAACACCAAAGGACATGCGGGCTGCATAGGTCGGGATAGACAGGGCATAGTCTTCGAGCTCTCGCCCCGAGCCCCTGGACAACAACAACAACAACAACAACAACAACAAAAAAACGTCTCCCCCGCCCAGACCGCGAAGCGGACAGATGGACACTGCGCACACGTGGATGGCACCGTTGGGAACTCAATGTTCTTGTCGGCACCTCGCCGACATTGCTTTCCCGGACCGACAGAAAATTGTTCGTCTTCGCTGCGACCTGGGCGCGCGAGGGCGAAACGAAATGGGCACAAGCCAGCTGGCGCGAGGAATACTCTTTTGCGGGGGCGGCCTGAGGGATTAAAGGCTCTCCCAGCGTTCCATGACGCCTCAGACTCGACATCGTGACTCCTACGCGACCTGGGCCGCTGAGCCGTCGACCCCATCCCTCGGGCATGCTCTTTCGTCCTGGCCGGGTGATGCCAGAAGTGCCCCAGGCCCAAAGTGCCCCCAGGATTTCCACGGAGGCCCCCACGGCCTCCAGCAGGGCTGAACCTAAACGGTGTTGCTCGCTTTCGTTTAGTTCTTGTTCCCTCGCTTTTGTCTCGAATCCGCCTTTGCCGCAAAACGAAGTCGAAACGAAAACGGCCCACGAAATGGCCCAAAACACCGTTGAGGTCCAGCCCTGGCCTCCGGCGCACCCCTCGCGAGGCCCCGAGGGCCCCGGGGCTGGGGGCACCCTGGGCCAGGGGCACCTCTGGCAGTCGCCGGCATGGGCCGTCTGCTGCCGGTCCCGGGGCCCGAGGTCGGCTCCCAGTGGCCGGCGTGGGGGAAAACCGCTGCACGTTCGATTGCGACGCCTGGAGGCAGAGGAAGAGAGGAGCGACGACGTCATTCGCCACGGGTGCTCGCCGACCGCCCTCCCGCCACATCCCCCGCGTCCTCAACCTCCCCATCAGCCCACCCCGTGCCCTCCCACTTCCCCACCTTCCTCCTCCTCCTCCTCCTCCACCTCCTCCTCCTCCTCCTCCTCCTCCTCCTCCTCCTCCACGTCCTCGCCACCTCCTCCTCCTCCTCTCCTCCTCCTCCTCCTCCTCCTCCTCCTCGTCACCTCCTCCTCCTCCTTCTCCTCCTCCTTCTTCCTCCTCCTCCTTCTCCTCCTCCTCCTCCTCCTCCTCCTCCTCCTCCTCCTCGTCTCCCTTCTCCCCCCTCCACTGCTCAACAGCCTCTGCCACTCTAGGGCAAGGGAG